TGAATAGGCCAGGGCAGAATGGGAGATACCATAACTGTTTAGCACACATTTGGTCAAAGGATCGGCTTCATTTCTCTCTTTAACGAGTTGGAATATGGTGCTACGAATGGTAAAACTCACTGACGACGCCGGCGAAACGTCTGGAAATATACAGCGTCCACGGTGCGACTTTGGAAATAATTATACATACAATGGACTCAGGACAAGGTGCGTTCCTATTAGTCTTCCTACCAATATGACCAAGTTGCGAAATCAAGGTCAAACAACTTCTATACAACAGAAGGAGACTACGACCACAAAAAAGGCCACACTATCTTGGTCTTCATACTTTTGATCAATATTACAAGATTACCAAACCTATTAAGTGTGGATATTTCTTATCACTCTATAACTAAGGGGCTATTTCGCATGCGCCTTCTGGAAACTTCAAATAACTTTTAATGACACGCCTAATGAACGTTCGTTAATGATAACCCCATTTGATATTTTCCCATATCCAAAATACCTAAGCACAAATAACTAAGTGGCTAAGGATATTGTTAGGGCATGAATGAAGGCCGATCTATGGTCTCGGACTTCTACGGAGATATTCATAGATTTTATCAAAGCTGTAAGATAATTCAAGAAAACTCTATCCCGATCCTTGATTGTTATATTGGTATAGAAGAGAAGACAGGCCTCTAAGCGGTAATGGAATCAGTCATATAATCTATTAAGTTCATCGGAGTTGGCCTAAAAACAATTTAAATAAGCTAGCATAACTTCAGAATCCTTGTGTGCCAACCCACAAACGTTGTAGTTTAACATTGAACTTAATCAAAGGCATCAGTACCACAACATTTGTGGGTTGGAACACAAGCGATTAGGACATGGCAAGTCATAGAATTGATATTAGGGATAGAGACAGGATAGATAAGGCGGCGATTTGAACTAGTTGGCTGACAGTAGGTTCTACAAGAGACGTGGTCCCTGTAGCAAAGGCAGGACCATGAGACTTGCTCTGAGGCTTTAGCCTTTAGTCAATCACCCAGATGCAGGAGATGGACGAATTACACCTCAAGTAGCAAAGATCTGGGCGGAAGGGGTCGAGTGAAATACATGTACCAGGGAGATAGCATACGGATTCTACGGGACAAGAGGGAGACTCTGATAGGACCCAGGTAAGGACTACGAAACAATATGACAGACTCTGGGGATGATAACGACAGTGTAGAGTGTGAATTGTTCTCGTGAATGCCACTAGAAGAGCACACCACACTACATTAAAAAGAAGCACGGTAAAAACAAAATTGTGACAGAGAAGGCATGATAGGACATAGGAAATGTGAATAGCCCAGGGCAGAAGGGGAGATACCACAACTGTTTAGCACATATTTGGTCAAAGGATGGGCTTCACTTGTCTCTTTGACGAGTTGTAATATGGTGCTACGAATGGTAAGACTCACTGATGATGCCGACTACGATGCCGGCGAAACGTTTGGGAATGTACCACGTCCATGGTTCAACTTTGTAAATGATCATGCAGACAATGGACTCCGGACTAGGTGCGTTCCTCCAAGTCTTCCTACCAATATAACCAAGTTGCGAAAGCAAGGTCAAACAACTTCTATACAACGAAAGGAGACAGTGACTACACAAAAGACCACACCATCTGGGTCATTATACCCTCAGAATCTAACTTGTGATTATTTCTAGAACGTTGAAACTGCATGAAAGAGCCAAAGCAAAGAATGGAAAAACACTCATGTCGCTAAGAGAGGTAAGCAAAAGCCCGGCAAATATTGACAGGCTATTACAAGTGATACTGATTAACGAATTACTCAAATAATTACTCCATAATCTCTTTAGCGGGCCTGCAAAATCTGCAAAGCTGATGAGCTAAACCCAAGAAATAACATTAATATTGACACCTAAAAAAGAGCAAATGAGATAACAATACCGAAATTTCCCTACAACCAAAACTAAATCAGAACTGTCTAAATAATAAGTCACATTATTCAATGAAATATTTCGAGTGCAAAATTGGGGAAGGAAAGAGGGATAACAAAGTAAATGTAAGTCTTTTCTCTAAAATGGGCCAATAGAATTTGCATGTTATCAACAGAAATAAATTTCAAAATACAACTAGTAAAATAGCTAAAATAGAAAAAAGTAAGGGACAGGATAGTTTCTTAAACATACATATAATTGTTCTAAGTTGTACTTCTCGCCTGAGAGCCTCTTATGTGAGCTTTTAAGTCCAAACTTATAAGGAATGTCACTGCATTCGGTCTCATGATACGATGCATCCGAGAAGTAAGAAGAATCAGTGCACTGGGCAGCAGTTTTAGTGACCGCATGACCAAGCGAATTATGTTGTTGTCCGCTATTTGAAGAATAGCTCTCTCTATAGGAGAGATAAACGACACGACTTGGTGGGCAAATACCACCAATTTGTTTTATAATTCCTGGTTCGTTAGTGGAGTCACTGCCTTCATTGGTAATATTGTTGACGTTCACCGATGGAGGAACTGGCTGCTTTTGCATATCACAAGTTTTAGCTACGATGGCTTGCTCAGTTTCCATTTTCGAAACTGAGATGACTCGGCTATGTAAACTGTGGGTAAAATGACGGCGGATAGTTCTCTTCATAAGTTTCTGGATAATACGTAAAAATGTAGATAAAAAAGAAGTATGGGTAAGGCGTATGAGGAAAAAGGCAAAATGATAAACCATAAGAAATGATTTTAAATAGCGAGAAATATGATTTAGCAGAGTCAAAATCAGGATAACTAATTAAATAAATGTCAATGAAGGCACACCAAATATGAATATAAAATTGGAAATTAAGAACTAAAGAAAATTAGAGGGTAATACTTAAGAAAAAATGTGTAGCTAAAACAATGAATTTTTCAGTGATTCAGAAACATCCATCAAAAAACAATTACATTTCGAAGTGGGCTAGGCTTATCTTCTTAATCAATTTTACCGAGGGAAGTAAGCACATATTATACATGACTAGGGAGTTGAGAAATATTAGAAAAGTTTAATCTTATTCGGTCAAACAAAACAAGTGAAAAATAGTCGAAATTAAAATCGCGAATATTTGCACCACTGAGAAACACGACTAGGGCACCACACTTACACCAGATGAAGGTTGTGATTGTCCGTCTATCTGGCCATGTGAATGCTCAGGCCAACTGAACACAAAATCTCCTGCAAAGAGCAATATCTCCAAAATCATAGCTGACCAAGCTCACGATAAGTACAGAAAACGATATAGGATAGTCCAAAACAGCGTTTTTCCGGCTATAAAGACCTTACCTCTAAACGTGAAATTAAGGAGTTTATAGTAATAGGCATAATGCATTTGGTGAGTTTAATCATAAACGATGATTTTTAGCTGACGATGTTTGTCATACGAGACGTAAGCTCAACATGGATACAACGGAGTGGCAAGAGGATGAGCCGAAGAGTTCTTTGTATAATCTAGCGTTTTTCACTGCTTCCCTTTAACTGAGGCCAATTCGCACAGCATTAACAACGCCATTTTCCTTTGAAATAATGAGTCAATTTACAATAAGCAAACAGAAAATATTCTGAGTAGGAGAAGAGAATATAGACAATCGAGTTGGAACTATTTGCTGCATGATTGTCACGGATGCGTTGGAGTCGGGGGGAGGTGAACCCAGGTCCTCTTTACGCAATCCAAGGTCCTCCACTCCGAGACAATTCTCCTTCGGTTTCCAGTAAAGCCAATTAATGAAACCCTTTAAACCAACTTTTCATTAAAAATTAAAAGTAGGTTACATTAAATTTATAAGGATTATTTTATTTAAGCATACTGACAATGGTGGAGGATGCGGTAAGCAGCCGCTCTGAGAATAAGACAGTTGCGAAAACCACTTCGTAACAGCGAAATAAGACATAAAGACAACATCTTAGTCCTTATATCTCATTCAATCTGCTTAAAAGAGTATAATGTAAAAAATAATTTGATAATTAGTTTTAGAAAGCAGCTCAAACGTCACGGCCAAGCAATTAAGAAAAAAAATAGATGGCAACTCAAGAAAAGTATAA